GAAGAAGGGTCCAGACCCGAAACGTCGGCTTTCCTGCTCCTCTGATGGTGCTCGGCCTGCTGTGTTCATCCAGCTCTACACCTTGTTACCCCTTGGTTTCTGACTAGGTCTTGTTATTTGGGCTCCAATTCAGTAGTGACAGTCTGAACTGATTTTGGGTAAGCCTTCAAAACAATAGGAAGTGTAAATTCTACCAATAGCATTTAAACATCTGGGGGAGCGTTGGGGGTGGGGGATGCTGGTGATGCACAGTAATTCCCCACCCCATAGCTACTCAGTCTGGAATTGAAGTTTGAAGCAGAGCATGCAGAAGTTACCTAGCCTCAGTTACAAGTATAAGCAGTCTGGTCAGTGTTCATTTCAAAAAGTGACTTTTCCCCGTAAGATTCCATATGTGAGACCTGTATTGTGCCCATTCTAAACAAGACATGTCTTCAATGGGCATGACAGTTCAGGTACATTTCACCACTACAAATGATTTGTGAAATTGTTCACGAACTTCTGGCAATCAACATTCAGCGTGACACTACAATTTGCTGATAGTAAGGTCATCACCACATTTAAAAATAAAAGGTAAAGGTAAATGCCAGTGCCAACTTTGCTAGCTAGCATTGATTATGATAAATGAAGACAACTGGTCCCATCAATTCCCTGGACACACCAGCATGCACATATGTCCTCTTATGGCTAGCTGTCACCACACACAAAGTAGTTATAGCAAATCTTCACTTTTAGGTGTTGCTTGGGGTGCGTTTTTCCCCAATTTGCAATGCCATTTTCATGATCTTGAAACTGACAACGTAGCAACTTAAGAGCTGTGCCTTGATAGAATCACTATGTTGAACTGCAAGTGGAACAGAAATCCCATCAAGTTGAATCCATGGAAATTCAGGCAAATGACAATGCCATCTGAAGGTGAATGAAGCAGTTCAGTCAGTCACAAAAGGATTAAAAATGTTTTCTTTAAAAAGGTGAACCATACTCATGAAAAATCATGGAGGCGATTAATGTAAAGTGGAGAAATAAAGCACAAGTGAAAACATAGCACTTCTGGATCAAAAAGTTATTTAAAAAAAAATGTAAAAATAGGATGGGCAAGAAATGCTGGCCAGCCAGTAATGCCCACATCCTAAAAACAAAAAAAAAAACCAAAAAAATTAGCTGCAAGACTGAAAAAGTTGCAGAAAAAAAAAAAAAAAAAAGTAACAAGAGGACGACAGGCGGGGCCTTAGAGGAAAAGGAATTTTATGGAGTTTGGGGGGGCGGGGGGGGGGCGTAGTGGGGAAGTCCGGTCCAGAATTCAGAGTCACTCCTCAGCAAAATCAAATCATTACATGACAAAAGGAAGCTATTTGGTCCATCAAGTTTGCACTGGCTCTTTGAAATAGTTGTCAAACTACACAGGCCCATTCCCTTGCAATGAAGTTTTAGTCCTTTCGCAATTTATGTAAGCTGAGTGCACAGCGCTGCATATGTTTGATACATTATTTCAAATTTGAAATAAGAAATTATTCACATGAAAAAGAGCAAAGGAACCCAACTCCAGCTTTAATATTCCTACCAGAACCCGATTCAAAAAAAGTCATTTTTCGCACCATGCAAAACTTCGATTCTGAGAGGTTTGAAAACCACATTAGTCCAATGCTGAACAATCCACCAATTGCAGTGTCCAATAATTTCTTCAGCAATTTAGTGGTCTAGACTCCATTGATCTATTCATAAGACCACCCTTATAAACAGCCCCTCTTCCTGCTAATCAGTCCTTGCTTTTTCCTTCACAAATTTGTTCCACGGTCTCCATAGGTTGCTTAATAGTCAATTTCAGTATTTTTCTTTTCCTTAATACTTACTAGGAAACATTCCTCCAATTTCATATCTATTTTCAACTCAAGAACCTCTTTGCCAGTTGAAATCTCTAGCTCCATCTATGGTTTTTTGTGACTTTTACTTGAATGAGAAATATGGAGTCACTTAGAAACAAGTGCAAAATGCTAAAGTTATGCCTTAACTACAAGTGCAATAAATAGCATCTTTTGTATTTTGGCAATACAGTCCCCAAATTCATTCAGTATTTAGTATGTTCTGCACATGAACATATTAACCCATAGGTTCTTAACATAGCTGGGTCTCTTTCCACCTCGTACTCATCAGCGATGAGCTTCGAAATCTAACTGCACCAGGATTGGGGTGCAAATATAGTACTGCACACTGAATATGCCTAGTTAGGTTGGTAGCAGGACAATAGCAAACTGATCCATTAAATGAGATGAGATTATTCAATGCCAGCAATCTACAGAGAGATTAGGTACAACCATTGAGACAGCTTGACAATCATGGAGACTAGCGGTTTGGTTAGTCAAAGCTCAGCATTGTCTGTTCTGCTAATTTGCATACAACAACTGGCCAGATTTGAATTTTGAACAAATACTTGAAACTTCAATTACCATTCTTGCAACACAGCAAGCAACTTCAATAAGCTTGGAGGCTCATTTTTATTTAAAATGGCTTTCATGTCAGAGGTTTAAAAAAAATTAAACCAAAACTAGAGGATAATAGCAACATTTCTATTCAACTTTAGTATGAGCAAAAGGTACCCAGATCCACGAAGTAATCTGTGACTGCTACCACCCAAACACCCTCAAATCCTCATGCAAGCATTTCTGTTCACATCAAGTAGTAACTAGATATAAATTCTGGTTCCCTAGTTTAAGTACTGACTGACTATCACCCTCCCAGATAAAGCATGTACAAAATGCTGTAGATGATTTGGCAAACTGTTTCTACTTTTGCCAGCATCCTACTTAAATCCTTTGCGTGAGAACCGAACAAACAAACAAAAGGAAAATTCCTGAAAGATGTTTAAATTTTTATCCGAGGCTTTTTGCCTCAACTAGTTAAATGTCAAAAAAATCTTAACAGAAGTTTAAAGCTTTCTGGCATTGTAAAGTTACACATCTTTAGAGTAATTATGGTGCAGTCATCACAGAAAATCACGAGATTAAGCCTGAAATATTGAATTGAGGTCTCATTAATACTATATTGAGCTATATGATTTAAAAAAGCATAATTTTGTGGCACATTTAGCATTGCATGCATTACACCCATTTAGTATATTAATAAATGCAAACACTAAACAAGGGGAAGAAAAGGATACCAATTTAAGTCTAAAATCAGGTTGTGAACTGCCATGATTGATGGAAAGTTAATATTAACCTTCTTGTAGGGACAAGGACATTCTGGTTTTTGCTTCATCTTGGAGGATCATGTCTAATTTTCACTTACGTTGCAAATTTGCTGGGAAGTAATCTACTGATAGGCACATCCAGGAAAATTCATTGGAACCTTATTTACTAGAACATGTAGGTTTAAACAATTATACAGACTAGTTACAGACTAAAATTCATTTCACCCAAGTGCAATATACAGCAATGCAGTACATAATCTCCAGCAGAATAAATAAAAGCATAGACATGCTGCAAAATACAATGATAACATGAAGTCCATTCATAAAGATAATGATTTACAAATTAAGGACATATTCCATTTTTGATAAACCAAAGCCATGGAACCCCAGGCTTAAAAAAAGTCTCCAAACAGCCTGCCTCTCAGATGTTGCAATTTTGGAATTGTTGGATATGTACTGGAACAGAAGAATTAGCACAGAAAAATACTGGAGACCAAAAGTAAATGGGAAAATATTTTAATCAAAGCATTACAAGCTTACAGCCAATATAAAAATTAAACACAGCACTACAATGAGTTATGGCTCTAAGTGTCCTCTATGGAAATAGAAGGAAGTCACACCAATTCTGGACACTGCTAGGCTTATGAGAAACCAACAGATTCAAACTTAGTTTTCCCCAAGTTGCATAATGCCAGAATGACCTATTACATTAAAAAAATCTTGCTCTTCTTGCAGGTTTATAATACAGTAATAATTCCAAACTCTTTGGAGTCAAATAATTCAAATAAGCTTTGAATGGCAACATGCCAGGACAGATGGTGGCTCACTTCTTGGCAACATGGCAAAACAGTGAGACCAGCCAGCCGACTGTTTGCTTCTTTAATTTACTTTTTGTGGGACTGACGCATCAGATCCACACCCTCCTTTTGTAAATCTATTATAAGTTATTCAGCCAGCTAGTTTCATAAGATAGCCATCCTTTCATCTACCATTTAACCTTCCAGTTTACACGAGATGGGTTTGTAGAAAACCCTGCACTAAATGTCATCTTTATTTCCCAGTGTCATGATTTTCACGCTGCATGTTCATTCCTGCCCAACCAACCAGCGGTCCTTCCGAGGAGGTGGCAGGATCAGTTGAAATTTCACCTGTAGAGATAATACACTTCTTTTAAAAAAAAAAAAAAGACCTTCCACTAGATAGGACAACAACTATAAATAGCAGATTTAATGTTTAATCCAATTAATAAAGACACAAAAAAGGCTCCAATTACTTTACATTGGAATGATTTACACTGTATGGAAAAAGTTGTCTACAGTTACTATATTGGACAGATGTTTACAAAGCACTATAGTTGACTTACCAGATTATGCCGGAGACTGCGTAGTCTCTTCTGTGGACTAGTTGGTAGCATATGGCAGTTGTCCATTCAAACTAAAGCAATGCTCCACATGCATGTTTTTCAATTGTTGTGCTATAGAACTTATTTGATCACAATTCCCTCTTCTTTGCCTGTTGACATCATTAATCCATTTACGTGACAGTGATTTGTTGTATCTGATTTAAGAGATGCCAGTTTTCACCATTCTGTAGTTTGTTGCATCACTTGGTATAAAAACATGTATTTGATAAAAATATTAAAACAGTCCACCTCTGCAGTGTAGCAAGTTTGTCTTCACTTACTGTACTTTATTGATGGTGCATAAAATCATTAGTACAGGATTAGGTGTTGCAATGTTAGTGTAGTAGTAATTATGCATACTTCAAAATAAAAACTAAATAATTCACATTTTAAACTGCCAACAGTGGCAAGTTTATCATGTTGTGTATCAACTTGGTCAGACAGAGACAAAACGCACAATGTTCATCATGAAGGAACAAGTAATGGATGTAAAATGGAATGTCACAATGGTTACTTGACTGCATCCACTATCTACACAAAATCTTCACAATTAACAATTCTTCATTGAATACAGCTGTTATGCATGGAAAAAAAAAACACTATACACATTTACAAGACTGCAGTTAAGTGCTCATGCTAAGGCCCATCATTAGACCATTAAGGTTGCAATAGAAAAATTAGTGCACTGAAACAAACTACCTTTTGGCCTTCATCTGTTCTCTTACTTTGCTGTACATTTCCAGTACTACAAGCAAAAGAAAAAAAACAAAACAAATTAATACATTTTTAACAACTAAAGCTACTCAAAAAAGTTGTTGGTAAGATGACAAAAAAAAAGTTGGAATACTTGGCATGGTTTTTCTTGAAGTCCCAAGTCAACATCCAAAAAAAAATTTTTTTTTACATAAAGAAAAGCATTGGGCACTGACCTTTAGAAGGCACACAGGTCACCGTAATTTTCGTCTGAAATGCTACACAAGAATGTCCTAGCTATTTAATAAATAAATCTTTTCCCAGATGACCAGCACCAAGACCAAGGTATTACACAGCATTGAAACAAACCAAGTTGCATGTCAAACCAGATCGGGAAATAAAGGCTACAGCAACTTCAATATGCAGCTGTTGAACTCAAATCCAATAAAGGAAAACTATGAAGGAGATAGGTAATCCAGTTTTCTTACTCATTCAGTAGGCTTCTGAATATCTTGCAACGATAAAATTGCAGGCCTGAGAGAGTGATTTTAGCAGGACAAGCATCTTCAGGCAATCTCGGAGTTTTAAAGTATTGAATAAATTATTACTATCAGTATAACATTGCAGTACTTTAAAACTAACCCAGAAGAGTCACTTGGATGATGTTAGGGCAAGTTGCTACCATATAGAGTCAACTTTAAGTTATCCTCAAGTCAGACCATACTGGAAAATAGAACAGAAACACTGCTTTGCAAGTCTCTCAGACTGGTTTCTTCCTTGACAGACAAGGAAGTAGCTGCACTGATCTAACTGACACGTTGCTTCACTCAAAGAAAGATGAAAAGGTACAATTTCAGTAGTTATCCTGGACATAAGTGCAACTCAAATCAGAAGCAAAGTCAGTTCTGAACAGGAATCATGCTGGATTCAAAGACATTAAAAAACTGCTTTTCCTCCTGCTACAGATGCTGACAGATCAGTTTTCCAGTATTCTGTTTCAGATTTCCAGCATCCATAATATCTTGCTTTTAAGCAACTCAATTTCAGACAAGTGTAATGCAGGGAATTTGAGCAGGGCTTTCAGGGGAGGGAACACCACATGGAAATTTGGAATAAAACAAGATATGAACACAAAAATATTTTAACTGAACTTGCACACAAAATTTGTTTTAAAGAGGGATAAAACATTAAAAATGCATGAGCAAATTTTTGGACAAAGGCAGGGAAACAAAAATATGAACGGTTTTAGCTATTGAATACGAGGGGAAACACAAGCAGAGAAAATGCTAATGGGAAGTGTTCTAAAATCAGTGAACTAAAATCAGTGAACCAAAATCTATTTGTGAATATAAAGTACGGAGCGAGCAGGAAGTTACAAAGTAGGAAGACCTATTTAATAGTACAAATTGAATTTTAAAATACCTAATAAAATTTTTTAAAAGTCTGCATCAGCAGTGAAAGCAACAGCACGATTCTATTTATCCCCCTTAACAGATTTACTCCTAATTTTTGTTTGAAAAAGCCAAAAATGGAGAGAGAAGTCCAGGTTTGTAAAATTAGTTGAAGACACAGAACTTCATTTAGAGAAATTATGAATGCAGACAAGACAAAAAAATTCTTTAACTTCAATGAAGGGACAAGAATTATTTGTTATGTAGCAATTTTCTCCCACAGGGGAAAATAAAAAAGACAAAAACGAGCTAGCTTGTGTGTTTACAATGCTGACCTTTGCTCTTCACACCTGGTTCTAAGCTGTAATTGGCAGGAACCAGGAAAAGAAAAACAGATGTATTTTTTTTTTGAAAAGATGGTGTTCCTTTCTAATTCCTAGTAGAAATACCTTGAAACAAAACCAGATTCAAAAAGCTTTTGCAGTGTACATTATTTCTTTGAAATTATATAAAAAAATACGGATTACAAACTGCTGCTTTAAAAGTGCAATCAAAATCTGATGAGACAAAAAAAGAGAAGCAGCAAGACTTAACATACTGGGTTTAAGGGTGGCTATTACCTAGTAAATATAAATATAATTTTAAACTATATTCCATTCTAGACACTTTGCTGGCTGTGAATTAGGAAAAGGGGATGTAACAAGTTCAGAATGCTTGACATAAGCTATAATTTAAGAAGGCTGTAACTGAATAATCACTACAGAAGGTTATTTGATTAGTTCCGTACAGATCTGGAGCAATTCCGGAAATAGGGTCAAAAGCTTTTATAGTCTTGCAATCATCAGGCCAACTTGCGGAAAGAAACAACGAGGAAAAACAACGACAACGGAAGAATGTTGACTTTTAGAAAGTGGACTGGTTGATGGAGGCATTGCCTTGGAGCATGCACCAGTGACAAATCAACAGTTAAAATCGGTCAAGCTTGGTTTACATTTTAAAACAGGTTGACTACTTTTAGTATTATACCTTGACCAAATAACTCAGAATGGATGTCACCTATTTGGTGGAGTTGAAACAGGTGTAGCGCGCACACTATTTCTGTCTGCAAAAATATTCTTGCAAGTTCCAAGGCAAAGTCTAGTTGCATGTTCAAGTGACGATCCTAAATTGGTTGTCACCATAATTCTTTGCAGACTCTGGATTATTTGGCAAATGTTATCCAATTATAGAATCACTGCTATTGTTAGACAGCTGTGCATTTTATAAATCACAGGTTGGTCAGGTACAGTCAGTACTTTACTCTAGAGAAACAACAGGAGTAGGCCTTTCAGCTACTCAAACTGGCTCCTAATCAATAAGATAATGGCAGATCCAATATTCCCCACATCCACTTCCCTGCCTCTTCCCTCTATAACCCTTGATGCTGCTACTGTCAAGAATCTCAGCTCTAAATATACACAATGACTCTGCCCCTATAGCTTCATTATAATAAGTGTCTTTGGAACACCATCTAGAGATTCCTTATCTCAGTCCTAAATTAGCAGCCCCTTGTTTTGAGTGTATGCCCTCTGGTCCTAGATTCTCCCATGAGTGGGAAACATCCTCTTGGCATTTACCTCATCAAGTCCCTTCAGAACTCCATGTCTCAATGAGATCACCTCATTCTTCTGGACCTCCACTGAGTACAGTCCCAACCTTATCTTCTGTTCATTAGGCAGTGAAGTGAAATCTTTGCTTAGAGAAAGGGACCCAAAAAACCTCAGTACTCCAGACGTGGTCTCACCAGCAACTTATGCAGTTACAGCGAGACTTCCCTCCTCTTATATTCCAATCTCCTTGAAATAAGGGCCAAAGTTGCATTCATCTTCCAGATTACCTGCTGAGCTTGTGCTAGCTTTGCATTTAGTGCACAAGAGTATCCAAGTCCCTGTGTGCTGCAGCTTTCCTCTTAGTAATACTGATTTTCTTTTATTCTCCTTTCCAAAAATGTAGAACCTCACACTTTCTCTCATTATAATCCATTTGCTGGCTTTTTGCCCACATACTTAACTTATCAATACCTCACTAAACCATTTGTATCCCTCAACTCGCCTTTCCACCTAATTTTTTGGTTTGCAAGTTTGGCTATGGTGCACCTGCTTCCTTCCTCCCAGTCATTAATATATACTGGGAACAATTGCAATCCTAGTCCTATTTCACTTGGAACCTCACTGGTCACAGGCTGCCAACCTAAAAAGAACCCCTTATCCCCCAGGCACTGCTTCCTGTCCGTTAGGATGTTCTATATTCACACCAGTACAATACCACCAACACTGGCATCTTATGACATCCTTGGAGGGGTACCTTGATGGATACCTTCTGGAAGTTCAAAAACAACACATCTACTGGTTACCTTCTATCAATTCTGGTTGAGACTTCATTCTTTTTGGAATAGGAGTGTCACATTGGAAAACTGCCAATCCTCTGGTACTTCTCCAGAAACTAAAGGACTTCTGGAACATTATAACCAATGCATCTGCCTGGGGGCAAACTCAACACCAAGCAGACCTGTTGACATACTGCAGCCTGAGCAAAATCAGCTGGTGGTGGTGGGTCCTTTGCCACTGTGCCTGATCAAGACTAGATGGATCAGGTTGTCCAGGGACAGCCCTGCTCCCGTTTTTGCTTACGAACACCCAATCACACTCTTTTCTATCAAACCCAAAACCTATTTCGTAACCCAGTTTGCACCCCACCCCCAACCAACTCTTCCACTGGGTCAACATGATCATACTCAGTGCTTGCAGGATTAAGCACATTTGTATACCCCAATAAAGGAGGGATATTGAAGGTAGAGCACAGATACACCTCAACTTCTACATTGAAGTTCAAAAGGGGAGATTCTGTGGAATCTTTAAAAATGCCTGGACAGGTCTCAGAATGACTAGAGACAGCATTTCTTCAGGTTTTGGAATCAGTATGAAAATTAGATATTTCAAATGACCATTAGAAAGAGTATGGAGGGGGATTAGGAGAAAAACTTACAAGGAATATATTGGAGCATAGAATGCTTTGCCACAGGATGGACTTGAGGCAGGGGCTATCAGATTTTGTTTTTAGGGAAAAAAAAAATGAATGAATATTTAATACAAGGCTATGGCAATAAAAGCTAGAAACTGATATCTAGGAGTAGAGTAAAGAGGTGGCACAGACAAAACAAATAATTTTCTCCTGCACCATCAAATTGATTTGCTCCTAGCATGAACAAAAGAGAATCGGTTTGATTCTTTGAAGGCTGGGATAAGTACTTTTAACATTTTTTGCTTTGTTTGTTTATTAGTAGGGGAAATTAAGAAGTGGCAAATCCTACAACTAGCCAGTAATAAAAACAGATATTAGGGGGACCAAATAATTTCAGGCTTGACAAGATTGGAAAGATGACTTATTTGACAAGAAAAATAAAAATCTGAAAAAATGCATACTGCCTTATACATTGTAAATAGGCAAGTAATAAGCAACTTCTGGAGGACAGAAATTCTAGAAAATAGACAGCCTGATATCTGATATTTAAAACTGTACCAGAATCTTTCACCCATGTTCTGACAAATACTGCTGAGCTACTATACATGCTCCATTGTTAAATGAAGAACTCTAGCATTTAGCTTTTATATCAAAAAAAGTTTCTCATAACTAATACATTTAAGATGGATCTTAAAAGGAAAATAATCAACCTCACAAATAAAGGCCATAAATTTCAGAAAAGTGTAAATATCAATCTGATATCCACATACATTCCATAAAAGCAAACTACCGCTTTCAGTCTGTCCCAACAGTGCTTCATCGAGACAAAAATGACAGGATACAAGTCTATACTGAGGTTGCAAAGTCTTGAACGTTAAATAAATTCCATCATAAAATCATCCTGAAGCTTGACTTCACACATGGATCCAAAACTTTAGCCAAGCACAAAATGGAAAAGCCTGGAAGAATAGAGAACAATATTTTCCAGGAAAGTGAACTAGGATGTCAATAGTGCTATTGCTATATTCTAACATCTATTGGTGCCTTATAAATTTTCATTTTCACCTCAAACTCCATTCAAGTCTGCTTCACGTGTTACTTGTTGTTTAAAAACAGCTTTAAAAATACTAGTCCTAATATTTATTGTTTATTGGTTTCAGCCAGAGTATTTCACTTCCCATTCTACTACCTCCAATGCGCCCCAGGGCATGTTCTTGAGCAAGTCTCTTCTCATGTACATGCTGCCCCTTAGTGACATTATCCAAAAGCACAGCCAGTTAAAAATCAAAAACTGATCACACTGCTCTACCCCAATTTCTTAATTTTTTCATTGTTTCTAATCACAGTACTTTATACTTAACTAAGGTAAGCTGCACCTACTATTGCTTTATCTTCTTCCATCTCATTTTGCATTTACTTCCTCAGAAATCAACTGCCTTTTAGGTGCGAACCATTTTAACTTCCCTCTCTTACTCCCTGGGAGGCATGTCCATCCTGGTCTTCCTCTAGTCTGTCACAACGACGTCACCCGCAAACTGGAGGAGCAGCAACTCAATCTGCCTCGGGAACCTACAGCCCAATGGCCCAAACGTGGATTTTACCGGTTTCAAAATTTCCCCAACCCCGGCCTCATCCCCACCTCCTTGACCAGACACAACATGTCGATCTTCTCTCCCACCTATCCGCCCCCCTCACCTCACTGACCAATCCCCACCACTTCCTCATCACTATCCCACCTACCTTCCCCAGCCCCATCCCTCTATTTCTGAGCTCCCTTCCCCCTCCCCAATTCTGAAGAAGGGTCCCAAACCGAAAAATCAACTTTCCTGCTCCTCTGATGCTGCCTGGCCTGCTGTATTCCTCCAGGTCCACACTTATCTCAGACTCCAGCATCCGCAGTTTTTTGCTATCTTTGCCTTTTAGTTTATCATCTACATAATTGACCAATTTGAGTTGGGTTTAAGAACAATCCAAGACATGGACTGAAACTAGAAGCTGGAGCAATTGCAACAAAAATTTGGTGCTCCACACTTAGCACTTCATACCAACCAAAAATAACTTCTCCAATATGAAGAGTTTCTAATCTTCTGCAAATTTCTTATCAATTGGACATTCAAATGAATCCTTTACTCTGAGCCAATCCTGTACTTTTTTTGTATGACCTCATCAGCTGGAGGAGTGTTTAGTCTCAGACTGTCAGTGGATTATTCCACAGCCTCAATGTTACTTCCATAAAACAAGAGATAGGTCAAACAGGACTTACTTTTCAGAATCCATGCTGGACTATATCTTGCCAAGCTATTGCGCAGATAATCCAAGGTTACTTCTGATGCAGCTTTTTAAAAATCCATTTGTGGGATTTAGACTTCCTTGTCTAGACCATCATTTATTGCCCATCCCTAATGGTCCTAGGTATACATACACCCACAATATCATTAAGGGAGGAGTTCTAGGATTCAGACCAGAAATACTAAGAAGAAAAAAAAAGGTAACATTTCCAAGTCAGGATAATTAATGGCTTGAAGGGAGCTGGCAGGTGGATGCTGTCCTTCTAGATGGTGGCAGACATGATTTGTAAGGTGCTAAAAGGAGCATTTTTGCTGTGGATCTTGGAAGTGGTACCCAGCCGCTAAGCACTTCTGGTGGAGGGAGCAAATGTTTGTGGATGTGCTACCAATCAAAGCAAGCTGCTTTGTCCTGGATGGTGTCAAGCTTCAAGTCCATTACTTAACATGATAATTAAGACAGAAAATCAGATCTGAATTTGCACAGGCATTCCATTTCGTAAATCAATATCACATTAACTGGTTTGTAGTGTAACCATATCTCATGGTGCAATTGTTTAAATCAGCAAGCTCAGTTGACAGCGCTCTCTCAAATCAAAACCCAGCCTAACATGCTTGGTGGCACTCAGGCAGGAATAGTGTAAAGAGGGTTTGGATATTCAGACGAAACATTAGACCATGTGCTCACTTGCTCTCTTACGTACTCAGGAAGAGATCAGTATTATTTCAAAAGAATACCAAGGTCATTCTCCACAATGATTTGTGGAATGATGGAAATATTTACATCACAAACAAGTTATAATTTTGCTATTTGTGGGAACTAGCAGCAGACGAATTGGAATCTGCATTTCTTACAAGAAAAAATAGTATTTCATTGAATGCTGAGCATTAGGGAGAGTGCCTGTGGTTTTTAAACAGGCACTATATAATGCAATAATGATGGCAAATCCCTTACAGATCTCATCTCTATTACTTTGCAATATAGATATCCTTGATGCTATAGATTTCCTTTCCAAAAAAGGACTTTGGATTTTTATGTTATGACAGGAGGAGGATCAGCAAGTGGAACAGACAATGAGCATGCCCACTGCAAAAGTAAAAAAGGCAGTGAGATGACAGTGGTAATAGGGAGATAGATGCATAAAACAGATGTAACAGATAGCTGTGAAACTGGCAAAAAAATGGGTCTCCGGTGCCAAGTAAAAAGCCATCCAGTCACAAATAAAGCATAGTTGGAGAAAGATGGGGTTATAGGAAGCAGGATTTAAAACAAAACAGAGGACATGCTGAAGTTGTTGAACTCGAGTCCTACAGGCTGTAGGGAACGCTCAAGTAGAAAGGGAGGTGTTGTTCCCCTGGCTTGAGCTGACCTCTGCTGAAACACCAGCAGGCCAAGGACAGAAATGTTTGCATAGGAGCAATGCAGTTTCTTGAAATAGCAACCACCCTTCCAGCTGCTTGCTGCTATTTGTGCTAAATGAGCAGAGGTGCCCACAAAGTGGTTACCCAATTTTCACGGCAAATTCTAGTCTCAAACAGTTTAATTGCTGTTTTTGCTAAATAACAATGTTATTGGTGGGGAAATAAATGCTTTACAAAAAGAAAAAAACATTCCAGTTAGACACCTTTGGATTGTAAATATCTCTAGTCAAATCAAAAATCAGTAAATCTGATTTTTCTTGGGGCTGTCGCAAATAACATTTTCAGAACATGCATGTTTTTAGCTATATGAATTGACATTAATATTTTTATGCATTCATGCAAATAGCAGCTGAATGTCATCAACATTTGTGAATATATAGTATAATCCTTTGACAGAGGTAAAAATTGTATTCTATCAACTTCATCCAGAATCAAATAACGGTTCTACAGGTTTAAAAACAGTTTAATACTCCACGAACCACTCATTCATTTTCTATGAAATATTCCTAGTGTCTGACACAAAAATATGCTGAAATTGAAGAGGAAACTTTTTCTTTAAGAAAAAAAAAAAAAGGTGCATTGAAGCAGCTTAATAACTGAATGGTTTTGGATGAAAAAGAATAATGGGTTCACCTTTCAAAGAAAGGGAAACAAAAGATGGAGCAGGGGGTGGCCATTTGGCCCATTGAGCTTGCTCCGCCATTCTACACTATCATGGTTGATTATCCAACTAACTTAAATCCTGCTTTCTCCCCATAACCTTTTATCCCATTTGACCCAAGTGCTATATCTTACTGCCTCTTGAATACTTTCAATGCTTTGGCATCAACTGCTTCCTGTGGTAATGAATTCCACAGGTTCACCACTCTTTGGGTGAAGAAAATGTCTCCTCATCTCCATCCTAAATAGTCTACCCGGAATCCTCATACTGACGCCCCTGTTTCTGGACCTACCCACCATCTGAAACATCCTCCCTGCATCTATCCTGTCCAGTCCTGTTACAATTTTATAAGTCTCTGAGATCCATCCTCAGATGTCTGAACTCCAGCAAAAACAATCCTAACCTAGTCAGTCAGTCTCTCCTATGTCAGACTGCCATTCCAAGAATCACCTGCATCCCTCGGTCCCTTTGTTCCTAGAATCTTGCAAATTCCATTTCTAAAATATTGAAAGTTGGCCAATAGAAGCAGTCGAATAAGTTTGAGGTGACTTCAAAGTAAGGAATCGAAAGCAATTTTACTTGCCTCGAATTACTGTCGATTGCTTACTTTAAAGCCACTTCAAACATCAATTCGACCGCTTCCATTGGCCAACTTAGAAAGAAAATGGATTTTGCAAGATTCAGGCTATACTAGCTAATCTTGCACATTGGGGAAGGGAGTTGGAAGGAGGGACATCAAATAAAGTTCAAGGAGGGCCATTTGGAATATAAACATCTATATGTCTTGAATTCAAAATTAACTGGTAATTTGTGGTAAGGAAAAATGTTTAGGTAATGCATGGTATCATGCTGTAGCCTCTTCATAGCTAGGTGATCCTTCAGATTGCTTCCCATTTAAAAGAAAAATCAAATTGGTGAATTCACACTTATATTCAAGTCTTCCCAGCAAAAAGTCCAAGCATACAGCCTATATATTGTACCTTTAGTGAGATGGGACTAAAATATGCGATTAAAGAACTTGCTTACCAGGAAGACAGAGCTGAAGTTTCTCAACTGTAGTAGCAATGTTCCTCTGTTGCACTCTGCATCGAATCATTTCTTCGCTTTGGCTAATCACCTTTTAATATTAAAAAAGGAATACAAATACAGCTTTATTTATATATAAACAGAAACCTTAAAGTTACACAGTGAACGTCAATACTTAATTCTCACCTCTTTTCCTGCATCTTGAAGTCGCCGATTCGTCTCAGTTACTTGAACCTAAAATAAAAATTAGGTTGTAACTTATAGAAACTAAGCAAACAGATAAATAGTCAGCCAGATTAAAGTACATACTGGAACAAATTTTGTTTCCAAAACTTTAAATATAACACTCCTAAAAAAGGTAAAGTATCTAATAATTGGAAACACCAATTCAAGCAGATGCACGTAAAGAATAACACCTCTTTTCCCACATAAGCTCATTAAGTCATCACCGTATGCAAGCTCATTTACCTTGCTGAACAAAGTCATTAATTCAGCTTTATTTCAACGTGCTCACTCCCTCAATATCCAAATACATGACTTCACTGCTGCATTGTTTACAAAAAGGGTGCTTGGCTCTAAACTTGTACTTTGAGTCTCAATTGAAAAAAAATAAAGTGGTTGTAAATCAGTACATGTACATTGAAGTTAAATAATGCAACCACGAAAGTTTACCAATAGTCCTTATTCAGACTTCTTAAAAATCTCATTCAGTCCAGATGATTTTATTAACAACAAGTGCAGCTTTGAACAATTCATTTTAAAAACATTTGTGGAACAAAATTGATACTGATTTATTACATCTAAGTAGTGGAATTATTTTAAGTGGGAATCTCTAGATTTCAAGCAACTTACATATTTCTATTCCAGATCAGTGACACCTTAACTAACTGAAATGTAAGAGCTGGAAGTAAAAGGAATTGTGACCATCTCCAACCCGTGAGATAAGGCTCAAAATTGCACAGTTAACATTGCAAAAGAAATCCTGCCTTTGCTAAAATCTTCTTTACTTCACATAAAATAGGCTTGCCTCACTTTAAACAGCTCAGTTGACTAGACCTAGTTATAACCTTCCAGAACGAAGCTTCCCATATTCTGAAGATGTTTTTCTCAGATTACATGATTTCAAAGTTTAATTGAAATTCCATTGTCCAGGAGTCCCTCATTTGTTTCATCACTATCTTTAAATTTCTTTTCTTAGACAACCTCAAATCACATCTTTCAGCCTCCACAATAAAACATTACATGTTCACCAATCCTCAGTTACAAGCAAATTCCATTAGTTATCATTTCTATTGTTTGCCCTGCATTAAGGCTTTAACAATTTCCAAGGTAGAATATCCAAGGCTCATGTTATTTCGAGTTCTTGACATTCAAATAGCAGCCCTACATGGTTTTTTTAAAAAAAAAAAAAAAAAAAGAAAAAAAAAAAATTGCTCATGGACAAAAAGGTATCACTGAGAAAGCTGGCTCTCAGCTTTCAAATGGCCAGTGCTCTAGAGAGAGAACACAAACTCTTATTGGAGAGCTGCAAGGGCAAATTAACTGTTAGGAGTTTCCAAGTTTTTTTTTCCAAAAAAAAACAAAGAAATCTTAGTGGTAACCAAGTTGCATCATACTTTGAACCGAAATGCCTTAAATGGACAAGATAGAGCAGAACAGAACAAGAAAGAAAAGAAAAAAGGAACAATTCTCTGGATTCCACTATCAAAAGGACACCTTACCCTCTGTCATGTGGGGTTGAGAAGTAGCCAGTTCAGTCACATGAAAACACATGGCAGAAACTTACTCAGATAGTAAGAACTGCTGATGCTGAAGTCAGAGATAACAGTGGAGCTGAAGGAACACAGCAGGCCAGGCAGCAGAGTAGGAAAGTTGATGTTTCGGGTTGGGACCCTTCTTCAGAAATGGGGGAAGGGGGAAGGGAGCTCAGAAATAAAGAGAGAGGAGGGGTGGGGCTGGGGAAGGTAGGTGGGATGGTGATAGGGGAGTGCAGGTAGGCATTGGTGGGGAATGGTCAGTAAGGTGGGGAGGAGCAGATAGGTGGGAGAGAAGATGGACAGCTAGTGTCAGGTCAAGGAGGTGGGGAATGAGAGGGAGGGTTGGGGAGAGAGATTTTGAAACTGGTAAAGTCCACATTTAGGCCATTGGGCTGTAGACTCCCAAGGCAGATTATGAGGTGCTGTTCTTCCAGTTTGTGGGTGGCATCATTGTGACACTGCAGGAGGCCCAGGATGGACAGGTCAAACTTAACACCATGAGCAGATATCACCTGCTAAGCAAGAGAGTCAATGATAACCAAAAAAGACTTATCTACTGCTCCACGCACAGTTCAAATTATACTCCCAATAACCAGTCTCCTGTTTAAAAAAAAAGGACCACAAAATGTCAGGAAAATATTCTGAGGAAGGGTGACTTGACTCAAAACGTTAACTCTGCTTTGTTTCTACAGATGCTGCCAGACCTGCTGAGCTTTTCCAGCAACTTTGCTTTTGTTCCTGATTTACAGCATCCGCAGTTCTTTGGGTTTTTAAAATTGAGTTTAAGTGCTGCAAGGTTATACTGCAGCTCTATAAATCTCTGGCTAGACCACACTTGGAATATTGTGTTCAGTTCTGGTCACCTCAGTACAGGGAGGATGTGGAAGCTTTACAGAGAGTGCAGAGGAGATTTACCAGATGCTGCCTGGACTGGAGGCAGGTCTTATGAGAAGTTGAGGGAGCTAGGGCTTTTCTCATTGGAGAAAAGAAGAAGGATGAGAGGTGACTTGATGGAGGCGTACAAGATGAGGAGAGGCATAGATAGAGCGGATAGTCAGACACTCTTTCCCCAGGGTGGAAGTGACTATTACGAGGGGGCATAACTTTAAGGTGATTGGAGGAAGGTATAGGGGAGATGTCAGAGGTAGGTTCTTCACACAGTGGCGGGCATGTGGAATGCACTGCCGGCAGTGGTAGTGGAGTCAGATACTTTAGAGACTTCTAAGCGACTCTTGGATAGGCACATGGATGCTAGTAAAAATGTAGGGTATACAGGGTAGATTGACCTTCGGATAATAGGTCGGCACAATATCGTGGGCCGTTCTGTGTTCCAAGCCTAATTGCTGTTGGAGGCTGGGGTTTTTTGGATCACTTCTTTTGAGCTCACTGAAAAGCATACCACAATGTAGAACTGGTACGGCAAAAGTGAGTAGGGGAATTTGAGGAGTAGAGCTCAAGTTGGAAAAGAAACACAAAAGTGGGACATATGATTCACAAAAAATTGCTAAGTTAATATTTTAAGTACAATAGAGGAAAAAAGATTAATGCTCAAATATATTCATTATAAAAATGCAAGGTCCACAAGAAATTAGGAACAGGAGTGGGCCTTTGTGGCCCCTCAAGCCTGCTCCGCTATTCAATAGGACTATGGTCGATATGACACTGCTTACCTTCACTTTCCTGTGCTTTCCCCATTACCCTAGATTCTCCTACTGAATCTTGTTCTTAAAACGCAAGAACAATCTGCCCCACAGCTCTATGACAAGGAGTTCCAAAAGACCCTCAACCATCAGCAAAAACTCCTCTTCAATTTTAAATCAGCACCCCTTTATTCTGAGACTAAGCCCTCTGGTCCTAAGCTCTCTCATGAGGGGAAACAGCCTCAGCATTTACCCTGTCAAGCCCTTAAAAATACTTTACATTTCAATAAGATCATTGTTTCATTCTTCTATTCACTGGAGAATGAGTTCCATACCTAGCCTTTGCCCATAAGACAGCTACTCCACATCAGGGATTCAACCTAGTGAACCTTCTTTGAAGTGTCACCAAATGAACAAACATCTTTCCAAAGATAAGGGGACAAAAGCAGTTCACAGTACTCCAGGTGTGGTTTCACCAGCACCTTGTACAGTTGCAGCAAGACTTCCCTCCTCTCACTTTCCAACCCCCTTGAAATAAAGGCAAATAAACAAACCCCTCCAGATTTCTTGCTGTACTTTTTTTGTTTCGTACACAAGTACTCCCTTGTCCTTCTGTTTTGCAGCTTTCTGCAATTTTTCTCCATTTAAAAATAGTACTGTTCTTTTGTTCTCCTTCCAAAGTGAACTTTACATTCTCCCACATTATGCTCCATTTGCCAGCTTTTTGTCTATTTAACGTATCAATATCTCCAAAATGTGTGTATTTCTCACATGTCTTTCCACCTATTGGTGTCATCTACAGGTTTGGCTACAGTAGATTTGCTTCCTTCCTCCCTCCCAGGTCATAGAAATATAGTAAACAGTTACAGTTCTAGCACTGACCCTGCATGAACCCATTTGTCACAGGGTGCCAACTCGAAAGAAAAACAAACCTCTTATCACTGCTTCTTGCCCATTAGTAAAATTCTCTATTCATGCCAGTATACTATCCCAACACTGTGGGCTCTTATCTCATGAGAACCTTTTGGAGGTACTTTAGTGACTTCTACTTCTACTTGTCCCACTCTATTCACTCTGGTTGAAACTTGCTCAAAAACAATTCAAATTAGTCACAAATGATATCCCTTTCATAAAGCCATGTTGATGCTACTTGCACGGTTAGATTAAGATTTTCAAGAAGTACTGCTATTACTTCCGTAACAAGTATTTCAATCCTTCAATAGGTGTTAGGTGAATTGCTCTATATAATTAGATTTTTTAAAAGCCTCCCTCCTTTATTTTTGACAAATGGGCATCACATTGATCATTCTCCATTCCACTGATCCTTCTAAATCCAAATATTTTTGGAAAAATACGAACTAATGCATCCACTGTCAGCAGCTACTTCTTTTAAGATCCTAGGATGGATACCATCAGGAGCAGGGGGACTTAATTGCCTTTAGCCCCATTAGTTTGTCTAATATTACTTTTCTAGTGATTGTGAAGTTACTTAAATCCTACTGTGTGTTTGTTAGTGTCAACGAGATGTCCAAAGTATTTGCCACTGCAAGGTCGCATTCTAGCATTTGTCCTTATTCATTCAAATAAAAAGTGGACTGTTTTCTTACCTTTAGCTTTCCTGCATTCGACCTCACTTTCAGCAGTTCTGTGATAGCATCAACAAAACCCTGGTGGTGAAAGTTGCACATTTTCTCAATCTCCCGGTCATGATTCCGAATGCGAGCCTCAAGTTTTTCCATAAACCGTTTGTGTGCATTGGGCTGGTCATCATAGACAGATCTATGAAATAAATTTCGTTAGACATAATATAGAATAGGAAAAAAGTCTTTAATACATTACTCACTTATGAGACCACTAGAATCTACACACAGCATTAATCATTAGGAAATGTCTGGCTCCATCTAGTGAGAAATTCAATCACAGCACCCATTTTCCCCAAATCTTATTCTACCACTGTTGTGGACACGCAGCCCAATGCACCTGCATTAAAGAGATGGTGGTGGTGGGGAAGGGCTGAAGGGGGCAAGAAAAAAAAAAAAAGGGGAAAAAAAACAAGCAAAAACACAAAAAAAGTGAAAAAATTGTTATTCCTTCATGTCTTATTTGGTCAAATGCAGCGACAGCCATTTGAGCCATGTCTGTAAAATGGAGGTCAGAGTGAATGATTCTGGCAGAACAAAAACTTGGAGTGTCAGTGGGCAGTAATCAAGTACTGCTTGACAGCACTGTTGGTGATTCCTTCCATCACGTCACTGATGGTACTGTAATTAGTTCGGTTGGCTTTGTTCTTGTGTACAGGACACAAATAATCCACTCAGCATTTCCGGCTGAATGAGGATGCAGCGATTCAGCATGGTCATTTGGACCCCCCCCAAATCAAGAGACTAATTTGTACATCTATTATGCCCCCTTATTTCTAATGTGTGTTGCATAAGTAATTCCGGTCATGTTCAGTAAGCAAGAAAGCATGGTTAACATTTTCCCCTTTTCAAACACAAGTTAATTAGGGTCTGGATTTTAAAAAAAAAAGTCCAGAAAGGAAGGGATTACTTTCTAAATTAGCCTGGTTGCAACCGACTTAGGTAGGTAGCTGAATAAAAAAAAAAAAAAGGGAAAGGGAAAAGGAAAAAAAAAGTCATCTGTGTGGAACAGGGATAAACTAACAGTTTGGACCTGGTCATAAAGCTTTTCCAAATGTTTCCATTTCGGGAGCAGGCAAGTTGTGCAAAGCATCCTTTCACAGCAAGGCGATAAGTGAACATTAAAAAAAAAAGGTGGTGATCAAAAAAAGACAGCACAATTCTGTCAAAAAATTGAGAGAAATATATATGAGTGTTAAAGATTTACAATGATAAATTACTACAATAAAAGGAAGGATTTTAAAAAGAATGACAAAATGAGGCAGACATCCACACAAACCACAAAAGAGCATTCTTGTTTCCAAGACAGTGCATTAACAATCTCTTTCAGGGAACCCCACCATGAAACAAGCTCCGAAAGGGAAACAAAATCTGAAAGGGAAACAAAATCATAAGCTCAATTTAAAAAAGGTGATAGTGGTGGTGCTCTAGAATAAAGAGTTTATAGCAAAAAAAAAAAAAAAGGACCAACTTGGGAAGGAATGAGGGCAGTAGACACCCGGGCAGGGGGGGGGAAAAAAAGGGGGAAAAGAGGGAAGGGAGGGTTTTTAAAAAAAATTTAATTTTTTTTAAAAAAAAAAATTAAAAAAAAAAAAAAAAAAAAAAACACACCACAGGTCAAAGAAGTTTCTCAGTGCAGATAATGGGGGAAGAAAGGGAGATAGATTGAGAGAAATATGGAAAGACATTGACGGTACAAGACAAGAATTTTAAATGAAATAGCATGTGGCATCACTACTCACTAGGAGGCAGCAACAAGTGCTTTGATGTGGTAGTAAAGATATCAAGAGAGTAGAATTATTTAAAGAAGGAATCAAATCTCAGATGGCAGCAGAGCATGAAAAAAGTGATAAGTACTGAAGAATCAGAGTTTAAGAGGGTGGATTCCAGAAAAATAGGAAGCATGTGGTAAAAAGGTGAGGAGGAAAAATAAAAAAGTGATGGATGATTAGTCTCTTTTCTGAAGGAGCAGCCACCAAGTGTGCATGAAAACAAAAACAGCTTAAATACATAGGCAAAAACAAAAACCAGCAAGAGAGTTGAAACAAATATTTGAAAAAAGGAAAGAAAAGCTAAACATATAGGTTAACAAATTTTTAAAATGTCACAAAAGATATACTGGCATTTAAGACCAGGTGCCAAGACAGGCAACTAGAACAATTCAATGCATGTGGAGTCACCCCTCAGGAATTATTTCGAAGGCAAAAAAAAACGGATCAGTAGAAATAAGATGCCATATTCTTCAACTGTCAGAAGAATAGACCAAAACCTTAATTGATGGTTTGGAGAAAAAAAAATTGCAGAAAGAAAAGTAATTTACAGTTACATTCCTCAGGCCTAGTTTAAAATAGAAAAATAAAGTAGTTGTTTAGACTAGATCAGAGTTGGTGCCACAATCTCTCTGTACTGGAAGCATTTGTTCAACTTTAAAGTGTCATTTCTCCTCTTTTGTCCTCTGCTCTGGGTGTCATTTTCAGTCCTCAGAGTCCACGCCTCATGTCAGGGAGGTTGAGGGTAACTCCTTACAAAAAAGGCTGCATTGACAAGGACATCCAGGTCAAGGACTGGAGACAAATTTCAAACAGCACACAAAAAATAAACCTGTCAGTAAAGTCAGTTGGGCAACAACTTGGAGCCAAACATGAGCAGGCCCACACAAAAAAAAACAGCTCAAGGTAGCAGTAGCCAAAAGACCGCAAGGCAGACTAGGATCAAAAGAATCAGATAGGGGTCAGCCATTTGCTGATGGAACGAGAAGGTTGTGCAGCACCATATTGGTGAGGAATACAAAGTTCTATTAAAGTACATTAAAAGGTTATTCCATTGTAAATTGCTACTCAATGATTATAACTGCAAGTTCGACTAGAAGGGAATGCATATACCATGCAACATAGAAACAACTTTTGTTTGTTCAAGAGGCATAATTCACCAATTCTGACATTAGAATGGCTTTTGAGGCTACATTTTAAAATGCATCACTGTAGATTATGACCATCGTGTAAAAGGAAATTTTTTGGGCAAAAACTGCTCAGTGACATTTATGCACAAATGGGTGAACAGAGTTTGTGAAACCCAAAATATGTATCACCCTTCAGGGCCACGAGAGGGTTCTTCAACTGCATCTAAAAAGCACAATTAGATTTATTAAAATTTTCAATACTGGAAGAGTATAATAGGGAAGCACAGCTATTCTGAAAGGCTGCACAAATGGGGATATTGGTTATCAGCAGACACTAACATTGAATGGCATGGGGTGGGGGGGGGGGGAAAAAAAAGTGAAAAAAAAGGATACACACAGACTCAGCAATTTAAGTCTCCATAGAGTAGTTACTGCCCTATTATAGGCTGCTGTATTTCCCCACATGTAAAACAAAGATGATAATGGCCAGATGATGATTTATTTTAGTGACAAAAATGACATAGGTTGAGATAGCAAATTAGGTGTGTCCAACCCAAGCCCTGCAGGTCATGCACATCTTTACTTGTGCTTTATACAATATAGAACTTCAAAAACAAAGACTTGGACAGGATGGTGGAATAGGTGAATAAATGGGCGATTAAGTTTCATACACAGGAGTATGCATTAACATAGTATCAGGGAAGATGGGTAACAATAAAAGGGGTGCAGAAGGGCCACCACCAGGGGTATAGCTCTAACAATTATTGAAGGTGACAGGGCAAGTTGAGAAAAAAAAAAGTTAAAAACAAACAACTTTAGATTGTCTATGCTTTAAAATCAGTGGTTGCTAACCTTTCTACTAACTCCATGCATTTAAAAATGAGACAAAATTCCATGGCTGAATTTTCAGCTTGTAAGTATAGTAAATGCATGTAAAGAGAATGGTTATGTTATGACAGACGATTGCAACATGGTGTACACAAATGAGCTAAAGAAGACAATCACATGCATTATTAATATTTCACAATAATTTCAAAATCTACTCAAAAACAAGTTTTAAACTATTCTAAAATCTGTTCCACATATTGTATTGAACCAATAGTGAACTGTAACTTGAGATTTTGAATTTGAAAGTAAATTGCAATTTACCAAGGTTAGTGGGAAACCTGGTATGCCAGTACGTACATAGCCTTTTGGTCGAGGAAGAAATTGACAACCACCTGCAAATCTTGTTCTACTGACAAGCACTCCTTTTTAAAAAGCGAGACCCATGATAATAAATGATAGCTTGCAGAGGTAGGTGGTTATCAGAAACGGCAAGAGTACAGCAATAGTACTGTCACATCATATATTCATGTACCCCAGAAAGTCAAAAAAATGCATACACAAAGTATTAGTTTCATTTTGCTTTCCATCTGTAGCTCTAATGCATTCCTCTATATTAAAGAAGAAGAAGAGTGCTTTAATTGCATTGCATATCCAGTCTTCTACATTTGCCAATTAGAACTGGAAGCTCTCTTGCAACATTGAGACGATCAAAAGGAGTCAGGCTGTACTCCTTGATGTCTGCATTTGTGTTGATGTGAACGGAAACATTACAGTTGCAGGGGTTTACTTGTTTCTCACAGGCCCAGTTTTGACTTGAAATCTTGAAGTTTCTGTGAGGATCATTTCATTCCTCTGCGTTTTAAGAGGTCAGTTCAGATCATTCAGTTGATTGAAAAAGATCTTATGCCAGCTTAGCCCACCAGTAGTGGTCAGATAGTAACTTTTTTTTTTTTTAAAAATAGAGTTACACTTTGGAGAGAACTGACAGTTTTCAACAGAGTTCTTGTGAGCAGGAGAACCCTCCCCCCATCACGATTACAGTTACACAATGAGGCACAATAGTTAACTCTGAATCCCAGCTCCCATCTCTACACAATATTGCAAAGTGATTTTTACTGAATTCATAAGTTTAAACAGCTTGCTGAACTACACAGTTAACTCTGGTGGCCATTGTTTTGGCTACAAGAGCTTCATAGTGGTGGATGCAATGGTTGATCTGACTGTCAGGTCTTTGGTCTTCCACCTTACTGTCAAGTCCTTTGATTTTCCACATCACCGAGTCTGCTCTGTCAGTCAGTGCTATCGCTCCAACACATTGTCAAGGTAAATTTGCTTTCTGGAAACAAAGCAAATATCTGTTACCTCAAAAATATTTCTTCAGTCATGTGACTCTAGTATATCCTTATAAAGGA